ATGTGTCGGAGGATGAAAAGTTTGGGAATGCTTGATGCGGCGTACGACAGACACGCGCGCGCATGAAGTGTCGCGTAAAAACGTGTGCGCACGCGAGGAAATATTTTTCCGGCGATTTTCTCGCCGCCGCGAGTCGCGTCGCACTGGAGATTTCTGACCCGGTTCTGAATAGTTTGTTCCTACTTTTGATATGCAAATCGGCGTTGTTGTTCACGACGACGTCGCCGTACTGCTCCGCCGCTGAATTTTAAGCTCGCCCGCCCGATGTCATACCGGTAGCGCCGCTACCTCCTTACCGGAAGCTCAGTGTCCTGCCGCGGTCCATTTAGAAAAGAAGCAGCGAGCTTACGTGCGGTTCTCACCTCGACTTCTATGCAGATTTACGTAATTTGCATTACGCGATATACTGCTGATTTAATCTGATGTTTCGTGACTTATAGCCGCGGTTTAATCCTTTCATCATCAGAGTTCTTTTAAGAGTTAAGTTCTAATGCGTTTTATTTAATCCTTCGTAAATAAGAATTTTACATTTTTCGTTAAGTTTTAATCAACTTGACTAGTCAAGTAAAATACGTTAAAAGGCGACTTTCAAAGGCGACTAGAAGCGACAATGAAAGATATTCGAACGATTTCTGTTTATTTAAAACCATAAGTTGTGCAAAAAAATAGATGATAGAAATTACGCAGATAGAAAACTTCGCATTATTTCGAGATGTGTAATACAAATGTTTTCTATCTTCTATAAAATAAAGTTATCCATTCTATCTTTTTTCTTCTTCTTCTTAAAACTGCTACTCTCTTCGATGTCTACATCCTTACACGTCTACACGCTTGTTCAAGGAAAAGTAATAGAAATATTTCAGATAGAAATATTTCCTTGAAGATTGCAGAGTTAGCTATCTACCGAAATTATCTATAATCCACGTCATGGGTATTCTGCCGTCTTCTCTACGAGAAGAAGAAGAAGAAGAAGAAGAAACGAGAGATTGTCCGTGGTGTCAACAGCCAATCTCTCTGCGGAGATCCTGGCGCGAAGGTGGTGTCAGTGGTAACGGAACGAGTCGGGTCGGACAAGACAGGTCCCGCTCTAACGAAGCGAATTTCTGTCGTTTTATCGGAGGATTTTGCTCAGTTCATTTGATTCGTTTGATTTCGCCGGCTGGCGCTCGCCAGAGAGACGAAAGTGGAGCGCACGTGTAAACGACGAGAAGCTCCACGAGGGGGGGGTCGTTCGAAGCGTCCTTTGCGCGTCGCTCAAAGAGACTCCCCGCTCCGCGTTGGTATGCGGTATCGCGTGCGCACTTTCCCGGATAGTTTCGGCAAGGCAAACAACAAAGGACGAACGTCAAAAGGAAACGCCGAAAACCGTCGCTTTATTTCCGGTCACGGCTGTACGCGATTAATCTCTCTCGCTAATAGAGACGAATTCGTACGGCTCGCTTTTGATGATCGACGAGAACGGGATTATAGAATTATCCTTTCCCCCTTACCCCCGCCCCCCCCCCCCTCACCCTTGCATCGAACGATTCTCTCTTTCGAGGCAAACGAAGCGAGCGACGTAGAGCTCGATTTTATGTATTTTCCGCTTCGATCTTTGCCCCTTATTATTGTAATGATAAAAGTTCAATTTTAAATAAGAAAGTAAATTAGATGTGAGAGTGTGTAAAGTTTCGCGAGATGTAATGGAGTCATGCTGTCATGTAATGCCATGCGATTCTACTAATTTCTACTCGTTTGAATTTGCAATTTAAATTTATTTGTAATTTAATTTTTGTATCTCTGCGAATGTACATCGAGTTGCTTTACGAGAGGAGCTTTCTAAACTTTATAAATAAACATAAAGCGTAAACGAACAAAAAATCGTGATGCAGTGACGTGGTTCAGTAATTTTTATTTTTCCATTGTATTTATAAACTCGATATGCTTTAAACCATGAGTGGCATTCACGTAAAATTTATCCTTACTGTTTACGATGTGCGAGAAATACGACAGATAAGAAAAATAACGGGAATCGCACAACGGGCGAATTAAGAGTCCGTAATCGTGCTTTAAAACAGTGATAAAGCGATTCAGCATTAAAATCTCATTATCGGGCTGATTAACGCACCAGATCCGATCGATTCCACGAGCATGATAAATTCACTCTGACGTGAACCGATCCGTGCGCCATGCACAACAGCGCGGGGCAGCGTATAGCCCGCGACACGCTTGCAGGGGAGAATGAATTATTCTAAGGGCGAAACTTCCGCCGGTATTATGTGATAAATATAGAAATTATCTGTGCGAAACGCGTACCGACTGAGTGTCATCATCAGACCGCGCTGCATATCTAGGTTGAGAACGTTACTAGTTGCCGTTACACCAGTTAGTTTAATCCCCTAATCTGCGCGCATTAATTATGATGCGTACACACGGCTGCGACATGTATAAGAGCAATTTCGCATTCTAGCGTAGCGAATACGCGTTAATACTCGCGTTTCACGTACTTTACTGCTAAGCGCGTAACAGCTTTTCAGGCACGCTGTAATCTGCACAGATGATGTTTTTCGAAGCTATCCTTCTTTGCCAAAGGGAGCGTTATTGCACCTTTCCAGACCAGGACCAGACATACAAATTAGACGAAATACACGTCATTGTTGACGAATTTTAATTTTGATGGTGGATGTTTTAAATTATGAGCTTGGAATTAATTCTTTTTCTCTTTTTTTTTTGTACAAAATTGAGCAAGATTTAAATTTATTATATTTGCGGATTATTTTGAATTTTGCGTAAAATCTGATTGTAAAAATTATTGAAATCAATAAATATTTTTTATTGAATTTATTAAAAAATGAGCTTTATATTAATTTTAACTTGTATAAATATTTTTTTTATTCGTGAAAAAATAAACTGCAAATAACAAATTGAACAAGTATAGCAAAATATTTTTACAATATCTTTTCATCCATCTAAGTTTTGTTATTGCATTATATTAATTATATTAATGAAAATTATTGGTTTTCGAAAATTTCACGTGACGACTTACTGAACATTTAACATTTATAATACTAATTAAATTTATAAAATATTTGTTTCGGCACAAATGTCGGATATTCTCTGCCATTTCGTATTTTCGTAGTGCCAGATTCGCTTGCACTGTTTCAAGTAGTCACGCTCATTCCTAATCAAAGTTTCGCACATAGTTAGCAGTTGGTTCTTTAGTATGCGAGAGACCGGAAACATCAACGGTTAACTATATGTGTATATGTATATTGTACGTGTATATGTATATATATATATATATATATATATAATATATATTTACCTGTGGTTATTTTGTTTGAGGAAAGTCAAACGTATGTGGTTGTGCGATTCTAATTAAGTCCAACGACACAGCGCAAAACTCAATTTAATTAGAACACAAAATGGTAAAAGGAAAAGAAACGTTTCGAAAAGTCGCACGTGTGATTGTCGACCTATTAATTTGTGACTGCAAAAAATTAACGCTCGTTGAAGTAATAATATAGTGCCGTGAAATTATACGAGTTTTAAAAATACAGCTACGTGGCATATTCGTGACACAGATATAAAAAAGCAGACTGCGTGAAGCACATGTGAAGTCTCCAGAGGAGAGTGCTTCAATATCGAGGAATACCTTTTGCATTAATAAACGATTGAAAGCTAGTGAAGCAAGTTATTAAGCTGATTCAACAGTGACAACGAATAAGAGAATCTCTCGGTTATTTTTTCACGTTACGTCGATTCAACGTTGGAGACAGCGATTTGAATCGTATGCCAGATACTCTTTTTTTCCACCATCAACAGGAGCTTTTCATCCAAACGCGCCTCTAATTTCCCATCCCTTTGCGCCCGTGTGTCATATCTGTGTTCCATTTACGCTTTTCGCGAATGCAACGGGCGGCAGCGACCGCATGTCGCCCGGCATTCGGGTGGCGCGTATAGCCAGCGAGAGACGCGACGCGACGCGACGTCTTTTAAAAAATTCACCGTATATATCATCGGCGGATTGTCGTGGCTTTGCAAGGTAGAACTGGATGCGCATAAATATTCATCGAATACCCCCGGTCTGATTGCCGCGTAGCGAAAATGCAGCTGTCGATGCATGCCGACTGTGCATGCCGATTCTACGCGCTGCAGATCTGATCTTATACTACGCGGGGGTGCCGTTAAACGGACGGAAACTTGGGACTTACGGGATAAGTTGGGAGCCATTAGAAAAGTTTTGTTTTTAACGACGTTAGAGGAGAATTTTATTTTCGGATATCTGGACGTGGATAACGCGGCGCAGATAGCGCGGAAATAAATTTGAAGTTTATGGGGAGCGAATCTGCCTGCATTAAAATCGAATTGCAAGCTTCCGGTTTGATAAGTACCTGCTTTCTACCGATTATTAAAGCATTAATAAAGCCGCCGACTATAATTCAGATTATTCTCATTCACACATGGAATTATATAAAACAAAATTCACTTACCTTTTATCCTCGGGGACAAACGGCACGACTAATAGGACCAAATGGAGCTCGTCGCTCGACGTCGTTTCGGAGATATTGAGCAGCTAAGGGAAATTAATCGGGCGCCATCGTTATTTTGCGAGGATGGTCTGCAAGTGAGGGACTTCATGAGCCGAAGCCGGGGATTCTTAAATATCCTCGACGGGAAAAGTTCGGGGAGCGCATCGGGGTCGTGGCTATCGATCTTCGCGGGCCATCTTCCCGCAGCCGTTGCCATTAGCTCCGAAATTACCGACCATTCCCGAGATAGACAAAGACTTATGTTTATCATTTAGTCTAAATTCCCGTATTATAGACCACAATTCCGATTTAACAATAAAATAATAAAGAAATAAAATCAGCCATCTATCTGAACGGAAATAATTCTCTTCCTTTTCTCCCTCCCTGTCAGAGATACGGATGACGTGCCTTGATGCGACCTGATCTGCGCAACGAGGTAACCGCTGCTGTTCGGACGGGCGGCGTGGCGCGTGAATAAATCGACGGGCATTGTGTGGATAATTTATTTACAAGAGTAAAACATTATGTACAAGAATGCGCTTTCTCGCAAGAGAACTTGTGTGGAAAACAAGACAAGAGGTGAGATGGGTGTGAGCGGGTGGGAAACACAGTTTTTTTTTCTTCTTTATCTTTCATCTCTCGGGCTAGTCGTGGGTGTAAATCATACGAGCCGTAAAGTCGCGTGGTTTACATACATTTCTCTACTATTATCTGTACGTGTGGTGTATGTGTGTGTTATGCGTGTCTTCTGTGTCTTCCTTTAAGATTTTTTTCATTTAACACTTATGCCATAAGTAGAAAGTACTTCGCGCACGGGTGGAGAGGTCGGTTCACCCCGTCTTTTTATTACATCGCTCTTCGGTTAAACTTGCTCGTGACACATTTATTTTACACTTAACATCTCCCTCACATTATGGTCGGGAAAGGGTCGCGGGGTCGCGCGCAGTCCCAGTTTTAACTTCTCGCCATTCCTCTTCTTTCTTGGCGCGAGCACTCGCGCTTCAATTATACGCCTCTCTATCTCTCTTTGCGTCAACACTCGCGTTGTCGCTAATTCTCACGTGTTTGCGATCGCGTCACATTGGACATCGCACGGTGCGCAATTATTCAAAAAATTTCAGCGGCGACAGCGACGCGACCCTTCGAGTCCTTCTCGTATACGAAGTGTTTTCTAATTAGAGAAACCGCGAGAACTCCCGGATCCCCCTTGCGTCGCCGCTGCAATTCTTTGATAATATTGACAACGTCTTCGCGTCGTTCGTGGATATGATAAGAATTCTCGACTCTGCTCGGTCGTGCCGTCTCGTACGAAATCGTTGCTCGACGCGTATTATATGTCAACAATAAAACCGTACCGATGCTAAAGTCACGAAGCACAAAAACTAATCACTGGGCTCAAAATCAAACGAACCTCTGTGGCTATAATCAAGTGTTCGCGCGGAAATAGGAAATTTTTATCGTTATATTTCACTTCGGCGCTTACCTATGGATATAGAGTGCAAAAGAAGCTTATCACGCGAAAACAACTATGCTGGAATTGACGTCAATGGTTTTGTTTTCCTTCAGGATTATTACGATCGTTATAAACAAATCGGAATTAAATCTAGCAATATTGTGTTGCAATTGGTATCATTCCATTTATCTGACGGACGTGTTATATATAGATCGTGAAAAGTAATTAAAAATATTAAATAAAAAAAGTATTTAAAAAAAAAGCGATATGGTTAAAACGTGATACCTGTCGATACATATGTATATCGTCAATTAACAAAAATATAACACGATTGCCTGCTTGTTAAAAGAACGGTTGTTAAACACGATGTTGCAATTATTAATTTTGGACGCAAGTTCCGGTGGTGAAAATATCATTTGTGCCGACATCGCCAATTACTGGGGAAACGTTTTCGTGATGGAGTATAAGTACCTCGGTTCGCTCGGTTATCGTTACGCTATTTAACGTTTTACACGTGTACAGCCTCTCACCTGTAAATACTTCGTGTACTCGCTGCATTACAACAAACGGTATGAAAAGTCCATTCATTCTTTCGCGGCTGGGAAAAGTCGACTCGGAAATTTGTCGTGGAATTCATGGCTCCAAAGACACCGTGTAATACGACTGCCCTCCACACTCCGCTTAACCCTTAGGCACAAAGCTTCCCTTTTATTACGTAAGAAGAGCTGTCTCTTAGAGATTATCTTTGTATTTCTCACCCCAGCGGCCAAACCCACAGTTAACTTTAAGATAAACGGGATGGGGATTTTCGCTTTAGAGGAGCGAGATAACTGCGAAATAACTGAGAATATTTAAAATACGACATGCAATTAAAGTAACGTAATATGTTGCTTAATACTTTCAGATTAAAATTTTCGCCTCGAGATAAATGATTGAATTGAAGTTGAAAAGAATATTATGATTTACAATGCATTTCTATCACTTCGTACGCGATTTCGCAAAACTAATCCCGATACAATAAAATGATAAACGCGGTAGAAAACACAATAACGTCAATAACGATGAATGGTATGGTATCGCAGCGATTATCTCTCTTGAAATATTGCCATTCAAAAATCAATTAATCCGAAAAAATATATAAAATAAAATCAGTCAAATCTCTTATTAACTTATACTTTATAGACCTCACCTTTATAAACTGCACCACTCGAGGATTCCATTATACAATTTCGAAAATTATTTAATCTTTCGGCCGCTACGATGAAACTAACTGAGATCTAATCCAGGATCTGGTCTGTGCGGAAGGGTTTAGGATGTGTGGGCGATCATGGTGCGATACGTCTATCGATTTTACGAGTCTCGGGCGACCTTCGTGTACACGCACATTATCTCATCTGGCCCAGAAGGAAGGCGAGCATCACCAGGACCGTCTTCGAGTTGGGCGAGCCGGCTGCCGTGTTTCCGTGCTGCATCGCGGCCGGATGCTCACCTGAAACAGAAACAGAAAGCGCTCGTGGAATACTTCTCCTTTATTTTCAACGATCTCAATGGAACACGGAATGGAATTGTAGCGGAGATGCAGTGAGCAGGGAAGCTGTATACAGACGCAGTGGACACGTGGGAATTTAATTTTTCGCGGTTGTAATAACAACCGCAAGTAGCGCGATTCGTATCCTATAAAAAAACGAACCGTCGATTACAGGAATTTTAACCGGAAATTATTATCAATGGTGAAGTTATAATATGTGAAGCATAAATACATTATTCGACTCGGTCACTTTGTCGAATATTTATTTTACTTTTTCGCCCCGAGCTTTTGACGAGTATATATTTTAGAGAGTTTTAATTTTTCGTGGGTTTTTAGACTTTATTAAATTCGTCTGTTAGACTACGTTTCGATTTGCTCATGACAAATTTTAAAAGATTAACTTTTACCCGCTGTAGAATATTGCAATTGTAAATTTCGCACAATAGTGAATTATAAATTCAATGTACAATTTTAATTTTTCAGCCTGCTACATTTGCATATGCACATGCAACTGCCTGTGCTTTTTAAAAATAAATAAAATATACGTAGTTTCGAGGCCCTTTCCCGATATTAATTCACGATTCTATCTATTTGTAACAAACTAAAAACGTTTTCTAGCTTTTATGTACGTGAAACGTCGTAAAATCGTAAATTTCACAGTGCGGTAGTAAATGGTGTCATAATGCGCTTCTAGACCATTTGTATAGGTAGATACAGGATCCCCGGGCATAAATTGTTAAAGAACCCTCACCCGTGGAACGGCACGGGTACATATATATATATATATATTTCGGGAGGTGAAATAGTCTCAAGTTTGACGTAATTCTATGTCGGCGTCGGGGAGCCTCGGCGGATTTGCAGAATTGAGGTCAGTGTAATACAGCAATACGCCCGTACAAGGGAAAATGGCAGCGTGTTTCTCGTGCGTCGGGGCATTCGCACCCTCGATTGATTTCTTGGCGAACAGCACTGGAATTGGAACGAGCGTCGCGAGGGCGCTTTACGCCGACTTTCCTCTTTTACTTGGACCGGCGAACGGCAAACGTGAGTACGTTTTATTATCCTTCCAATAATGCCACTTTTGGGACAAAAGACTCAATCTTGAGTACGAGGCAGTAAGTAAGTATTCCGGAAGTAAGTCAAATATATAGATAAAGGTAGAAAATTTAAAAAGTTCGAAAAAATTGATTTTAAATGTAAGGGAAGGGGGGGGGGGAATAATGACAGAAGGAAAATAGTGTCACTTTAAATTTCTCCTCTTTCCCACGTCTATTTTACCACTACTTGTTAATAGAAAGACAGTTCTCAAGCATTTAATCATTTTCTGAAAAAGCAGTAAAAAGCCATCAAATATGGCTAGCGGAGAAGTTTAAAATTTTGCATTCGTAAAATCAGATAAAACCTGGATCTTTTTTGATATTTGAAGTTACATTTTCTTAATTGCTGAATCGTTGAATGAGATCTAACCTATTCTATGTCATACGATATCTTTTTCCTTTCAATTTTGATAATTTCTATGCTCATATATTAATTTTATTTCTCTCAGTAAAATTAAAAAAAAAAAGTAGCTTCTGGAACAAATAATGACAATTTTTAGTTGGGTAAATAATGCCAAGTCAAAAAGCTTTTTTAACATTTGAATATGATTTTTTTTAAATTTATTTGGGATAATATGAGATTAGTTACAAGGCAAGATCCAGAATAAATGTGATTTTTAATATGAAATACTAGCAAATACTATTATTATTGTATGTTACTACTATTATTTATAATACTACTATTATTGCAAATACTACTATTATTGTATGTTACTACTATTATTTATTAATAAATAAAAAATTGCATATGGCAGAGTATAGAAATTAATATAAATTACTTTAATTTATCAAATTGTCAAACGAAAGATTAGGAGTTGAGAATTATGTATTTTGTAATTGTCCCATAGGGTGTCACTATTTACCCATAGGGTGGGGCAAATAATGACAAATGTAGGTTTCAGTTCTTATGAAAATCTAGCCCGTATACATGACTTATGGAAACTCAAGTTTTTTGAATATTTGAAAGTGGAAAGTACTCTTTTAGTAAAAAACTATATCTTGCAAACTTGAAATTAGCTTGTAGAAGAGAGAAGAAAAAATCCGTCACTATTTGCCCTCTCTTCCTTTATAGATAAAAGTAGAAAATTTAAAAAGTCAGAAAAAATTGATAATGTATTCAACGTATCCGACTTATCGTTCAAGCTATCTTCTTATTTATATCTTTATCTCATGTTTTCTTATCGCATTTTCAATTCGAAGCTGGACCTCTCGGAATTCGCTTAATCTAAACCTTATTGTTTGACAAATCGCGCAAACGAGTGATCTGCGCGTCACGCTCGTAATGCTGCATAAAGGTGCATAAGTGATGTATTGCGCGAAAAATCAAATCAAGCGGCGTTATAGCCTTCCTCTTTTCCCGTCACTCGCCTCTCTTCTCCGTACCCACGCGATTACCGTCGATTAATATGCGTCGTGCGAATTCACGAGCTGTTACGTGCATTTTTGAAACAATCGTCCCCCGCAGTATACGTTTCTATTAACCGCGTTCATTTGTCTCCCGTTGCACGATCGGATTCGTTATTTGGTTTTATACGAACGCTTCAAATGGTGATCGTATTTGCATATGTCCCTCCCCCTTCCCCTCCATAATGCACGTGCCGAAGAGGGTTTGACATTGATGATCGAGCGATTATCTCGAGCATTAGCTTATCACAATCGATATAAGTTTAACACATTTTTTTTATCCATTTGTTATTTTATGGTAAAATTTGCAAAACACGTAAATCGCTAATAATGTAAAATTAATTTATAAAAATATTTCTCTTATTATATGAGCAAAAAAGTAATCAAATCGTTACTAATTATCGTTATTAATTAATCAAACTATAAAAATATAAAAATTTTTAGAGTGATAGTTTTGTATTTGATTAAAAGTAGAATAATCTTTCATAATAACATCTCAAAAAAGTGTAAAACATTTTTAAAGAGAGAACGCATTATATAATGTGTTAAGAGGATTTCAGGTTATTTTTTGCTGACAATAGAAATGAAGTGCGAAATTTTCAGCTTCGTCTAATTATTTCAGGCTCTCTTTGTGTGTCGCGGATCGAACGAGAATGCGTGTACTCGCAATGAGTTGCGCGACGCGAGTGACGAGGGACTCGTCGGAAATGTTCCGCGAGCGACATGGGACTGCGTAATTAACTGTGTAATTAATCGAGAATTGAAATTCAACGAAATTCGTTCAGCGATTTCACGCCGCGGCGGAACAATGGAGAGTTATTAATACATCCGCGTAACGCGCACGGCACACGGCAAAGGCGAATTCTGTCCGCGAATCTCTGCGTGCCGACGGTGGCGGCGACGGCGGCGGCAGAGAATGGGACAAAGTATAATTAGCCGAATATGCGAACTAAATGAATTTTGCATCGCCGTTTAGCGCGCGCGCTCAGCGAGAGCGGAGAAAGCGGAGAGTCGTGATTACTGCAGCAGACACGACGTGGATATAGACGCGCGGGTATACGAGATTGTCGAATCCAATGAATAATTCAGCATAAATTTCGACAAAAGGGCTCGGCCAAAACCGAGCAAATTTTTATTAGCCCTGCGCATCGCAAAGGATCCGTTTTATCGCGAGAGTGGAAATTTTCCCGGGAATTTAACGAGATACAACGTTTAAGGAGGGAGAGAACATTTAATAAATAGCTATCCTCTCGCGTATTAAATTTTCTGTCCAGCGCGCGGCGTGTGCGTTAGGCCCTTTGAAGACCAGGACCGCTGTTATACTGTTCTCCCTCTTTCACTCTCTCTTGGCGCGCCTGACGGTACGTCGTATAATTACATCCCCGCAAATGCGACCCGGCGCATTTGGCACTGGGGAGAACAGGGTGACTTCGCGCGAAATTAATGTTCTTCTAACGGGCGACGGGCGCTGAGTCCCGGGCGAAAGAAATAAGTCGGCGGGTCGTACAAATCGCGGCCGCGGGCCGCGGCGCGGCACATTCGCCTTGCCTTCTTCCTGTTATGCATATCTGAATATTTATCTTTCCGGAGTAGCCGGCGCGCGCATTCATCGAGCATGCGGAGGAGAGATGAATTCATGCACTTCGCCCGAGATAATTGCACTTCGGCCGGGGTCCGCAGCTCATTTGCACTGCCGGAAGAAATGCGCTTTTTCTTTTTTTCGACGATGAAAAAGACGGCGCTTCATTCGTATTATTTGTATCAGTTTCCGCTCGCCATCTGCCACTTCCGAAAGCCTCGGGTAGCTGCTCGTGCCCCCTCCCCTCCCCCCTAAGAATCGTCACGTCAAATTTAATGGAAAAAGTGAGCACGATATATAATGAAGTTAAAGTTAAATTTTAAATTAATTACGTCGCGAAAATACGAAAGAAATAATAGAAATCTTTTCCGATACATTTGATTAACAATAAGTAGAAGAAATATATTTTGTTCCATATTCCACATTTTATTCGAATGTCCTTTTGCACAAGAGTTTAACATTGCAAAAAATATATTAAAATTGTATGAAACACGAAAGTACTGAAGAATTAAAGTGTACTGCAATCTGAAATTAAAAGATTTCAAGTGCAGAATTGAAAGAAATTGTGCAATCCTAGTTTACATTACGACTCAAGGATTTCGTAAGGATATCTTCAAGACTCCTAAATAGATTAGATAAATAGATGAGTTTGCGTTCCCGGCACGAAGATCTGTTCATAAAGACTAGAATTGCCCGCGATACCGCGAATATGCTTCTGAAAGCGATCTTATTCCCGATGAGATTGCCAAGGCGGATTCACGGGCAGGAGTGCGGCGCGATCTCCTTTTTGTCCCCGTCTTATAGATTCCAACGGATTTCAAAAAATTGGATCGCATAGTGCTTCTCTTTGTTCTTATAATTGAATAAAGTAGAGCATTTCC